TTCTAGAGGGTCAGGTCATCCCTCTTGTGGGAACTTCAGGTTCAGGCTTCCACACAGCTTTATTCCTGGTGGTAGAGCCAGCCAGAGGTTCTGGGAGCCATAAAAGGGAGGTGATAGAGAGTGAAGGGAAGGAAAGGGAGGAGAAAAAAGAGAAGGCGCCTGGGAAGTGAAGAGCCAGCATGTCAGAGAGGGACAAGGTGTCAGCTGCTACAGGAAGCCTGCTATAGCTGGTCACTGCTGGGGAGGGAAATGGGGATGGGGCGGGAATATGGAGAACAAGAGTCACAAGTCGATTCATGCATTTGTCTTTCCATTCATTCATCCCAAAAGACCATGGATGTCAATATTGAGAGATAATTGCTAACTGAAGTACAGGTGGAAGGCTAAGGAAATACAAAAGAGGGACCAAAAACCTATTTGACAGGTTGAAGTATGGATACTGTGGGAGTCAGCCAACTTCAGTGGAGCTATTTAAGCCAGTTATGAAGCAAATACAGAAGCAGGCATCCCCTAGTACTCCCCAGCTCTGTGGCTCATCTCTTCCCAAACCTCCACGTTCCAGTCCATTTATTGCCATCACTGTGTTGAGTCCTAGCCCTGTCCTATACTTGCTGTGTGACCTCAGGTAAGTGATCTAACCTCTCTGATCCCCAGTTTTCTCAGCAGGAAAGTAGAAATGGTACCAACTTGGAGAGTTGTCATGACATTCAAACATAACAGTGCATGAGAGGGGTACTTTGCCAAGTGCCTGGCACCTGTGTTGAATGTGCTCAGAGTGGCTTCTGTTGCTATTGTCAATAGCAGCAGTAGCAAGTTCATTTACCAAACCTCAGGGCTCTGTCTTCAGGCTAGAGAGGAGAACAGAGGCCATTCCCAGCATCCCCCATCCTTAGCCTCCAGCCTTTACGGAAACATGAGAAGCAGAGCTTCAGGAACTCATGTGTGCCCCCCACACCCCTTAATCCTTCCTGAACTTGGAGGTGGGGGGTAGGATGGGGGCGGCACCACTGCCACACCTGCACGCTCTGACATCTCCTGCCTCTGGGCAGAGAAAGCAATTTCAGAAATGACATGTTGCCAACAAGCAGAAATCAGCTTGTGAATTAAAATGTGTCTGCGTCAGGTGACCCCAGGCTTGGGGGTTGGCTGCATGAAGACAGCTGAGATTAGAGGCTGTCAGCTGCAGGAGGGGCTGTGCAGGAAGGGGTGGTGGACTGGGGCTACCATTGCTCCCTAGGCCTTTGGCCACCCTGGACTTGTTCAGGCAGGGGGGCAGGAATTCAGACAAGGGGTCAGGTCTGCCATGGCTCTGAGTGGCCTCCATCGCTCAACTGGCCACTCTCCATAGTGGGGCTGGTGGGGGGGTCCAGCATGGCTCCCCTGAATGGCTCTAGCATAAACACACTAATGGACCTGAGAGAGCCAGGGAGGAATGTGGGCCCCATAGCCCCTGGGAACTGGGGATGGGAAAGGGGTGATTAGACACCCAAGACACAGCCAGCCTCTACTCTGCAGGTATGCAGGAAGGAGAGAAAAGGAGAGGGCGGGAGGTGAAAGAAGGAGGAAGGAGAACTCCAGGAGGAGGAAGGAGCCCACCAGCCATGCTAAATTCTGGCTCCTCCCTGACCCCCCTGTTTGAGTCCCCAGGCCTTGGAGGCCCTGTCCTTTACTCCTAGGGAAGTGGCAGGAGAAGGCTGTTGGATCTGCAGCCTAGCTCTTTCCTGCGGCCCTGGATATGGCAGGGTACCACTCTAGTTCAGTTTCAGGAAATGGAGATCATGGCTATATGTACCCATGGGGCTGCCACTGCGACTAACAAGGATATGGCCTGACCTAGGAGTTCCCTAGGCAATTTGACTCACACGGTCACATCTCTGAGTGCTGAGATCCTGCATTCTAGTGACCTCTCTCCTTGTGTGTGACTCTCTGAAGGCCAGCCTAGGTCTCATAGCCATGCCACCCCAGCACTCTGTCACATATCTAGTGCACCTTATGTGACCCATCACGTGGCTACATGAGTAGTTACATGAAGGGACCCCAAGTGAGAGTGGCTATGAACTAAGGATGGGGAGTTAAGGGGAAGGATCCTACCTGCCTTCCCCTTCCCGAATGTTCCCCACCCTGTCTCAGATCCTTGGTCTAGCCTTTTACAGTCCTTCTCTAGAACTAGGCCTGGCAGACGGTGCTTGGGGTGAGCTGGCAGCCATATTCACCCACCTGGAAATTGGGCACATGGAGAGATTATTGTATATTTCTTCAGGTGTCTGGGAAGCAGAAGAATTGACCTTAGGGCCATCTCAGTAGCTCCAGGACTTGGGGTCACCATAGTCACACTCCACAGAGCCCAGAACATGGCAAGAGCCAGAACAGGACCAATGGGGATGAGGGCTTCTGGTTGGTGAGGAGGTAGGTCGGCTCAAGACTGTAGAGACAAGTCTGACTCATGATTTTTAAGACAGGAAATCTCCCACCTCCAATGTTTTCTCCACCTGCTTCAGAAATCCCATTGGGAGAGGACAGTCTCCTCAACCCCTGCTCAGAGAAAAATAATCACAGAAGCAACTTAGCAATTGGAGAAGATTCCAGAGGGCAATGGTCAAGAGCTCAGGCATGAGAGAGGCCTAAGTTTGAATCCTGGCTCTACCAAATTGATTTATGCATTTGTCTTTCCATTCATTCATCCCATAAAACAATGGATATCAATATTGAAAGAGGGTCCAAAAACCTATTTGACAGGTTGAAGTATGGATATTGTAGGAGTCAGTCAATTTCACTGGAGATATTTAAGCCAGATATGAAGCAAACACAAAAGCAGGTATCCCCTAGTACTCCCCAGCTCTGTGGCTGGGAGCAAATGTTTTAAGCTCCCTGAACCTCAGTTTCTTTGTCTGCAAAATGGGAGTTATAATTCTTACTCCGCAGAGCATTTGTGAAGATAAACAGGAATTCCCCAGGGGTGGGGAAGAAAGGAAAGCTCATCTCCATAGAAGATTGCCAACTAATAAAGAGAAGAGATGATGGATTTAGAGAATCAGTACTTTGGATGGATTTGGGCAAGGGTCAGCTGTGGATGCTGCCACTACTGGGTAAAATGTTGTTGGGCAATATGATACTCCTATAGTCTCAAAGCACCACCCAGGGGTTGATTCATGAGTCCCAAAGGGAAAAGGGTGACTTTCCATTGGGACAGCTGGCAGAAACCACCTTAACCAAGCAATGAAATCCAACATCACCAAATGACATCCTGTGGCTCCTGACCAAATGTATGGATAAGGACACTCAGGCATCTTCTTGAAATTTTAGGAAACAATCAGACCAATCTCAGTTGAGAGATGTTCTACAAGACATCTAGCTTGAACTCTTCCAACTACCAGTATCATAAAAAGAGCAGGAGGTCTACTCTGGACTACAGCAAAGATATGACAGCTGAATGCAAGGGCTGCTTCTTGGGTGGATCCTGGACTGGGGTTGGGGGAGGAGCATCATAAAAGAGTTAAAAAACATTTTTTTGGAGATAGGGTTGTATTATGTAGTTCAGGCCATGGCCTTGAACTCACTATGTAGTCCAGGCTGGCCTTGAACTCATACCAGTCTCCTACCTCAGCCTCTTGAGTGCTGGGATTACGGGTGTGCACCACCACACCTGGGTCATAAAGAACACTTTGAGGTGAATTGGGGAAATCTGAAAATGGATGGTATTGCAGATAACACTGGGTGAATGTTAAAACTCCAAGATGTTCTTGTTTTTAGGAGATCTGTGATAAAGTACTAGATTGCCAATGTCTGCAAAGTTCTCAAAGTGGTTCAACAAAATGAATATATGTAGAGATACTGTGTGCACAAACATGGCTCAATGCTTTTTAAAGGGGGATGCCATGGGTAGAAACCTACTAGTGATTGTCTCAACAAGCCCTGATCCCTTAGGAAGAGTGGCAGCTCGAGCAGCTGAAGGTGGAGAGGCCTGAGGGCCTTTTTGTGAACCGGTTTCTGGGCAGGAGTTTTGTGAACCGGTTTCTGGGCAGGAGCAGGAAAGCTCAAAGGGGGGTGGGGGGCCTGAAGGTGGTGCAGGGTAGAAAGAGCAAGGGAGGCAAAACCCCTGGGTCTGCATGCTGGCAGTGTGGCCTTTGGTGCCTTACCTAACCACTCCATGCCACAGCCTCCTGTCTGTGAAAAGGGAAGAGGGTGGACCACGTGTGAGGTTTAAGGGGGAAAGCAGGGGAGAAACCCCTTGGTAAGGTGAAGGCTGCCGCCACCTGTGGAGTCGGCTGTCTGTCATTGCTCAGAACCAGCTGGAGACCAGGCCCAGGGACACCGGGTCCCAGAAACATGTTAGGACTGGGATGAAGGTAGGAAGGAAGATGCCCTCAGGACTGCCTCCCTCCCTGAGGACCCCAGGAAAGGTAATCTGGGCTGGGAAATAAGCACTGCCTGGTATCCTTTTTCAGAAAAGGGTCCCTTGCCCCATATTCTCAGAAGCTGTGGCTTCCCAGAGCATGTTGGGAAGGCAGTGTGACGGGGGAACTTGGGAGTTGACATGTAAATGGCCTAGACCCTTGCATGCCAGCATCTTGTTTCTCCTGCCAGATCCCAAGTCCCTGAAGACCCCTGCTTTGCTTTATCCTACCTCCACCCATCCCACATTACTGGCCACAGGGTGAGTGAGGGCTCTAGAAATACTTGTCAAGTCCAGGGAACACCCCGGTTCCAATCTTATTTTTATGTGTCACCGGAGATAGGATTACAACCTTCCTCTAGGCTTCAATTTACCCAGAATCTATAAAGTGGAGTAACCTCTCCCTGCCTCACCTGCACCCAAGAAGACACAGCAATGTGGAGATCACACTTTGGAATCCAGGAGATCTGTGTTCAAATCCTGGCATATCTGCTTGCTAGTGGGAATTAGGAGCTTTCCTCTTTTTCCTTAGCCATTTTAGGTGGCAGTGTCCAATGTGCAGGGTCATTGCAATAAATCAACACAAAATAGGTACAAATAACTGGCATGAAGTTTTTTATTGGTTGTCTTTCCACCACCAGGATATCAGCCCCACTTGGTCTTATATACTATGGTACCTCAGTACCCAGGGGGGTGCCTGGCATTCAATAGGAACATCATAATCACAGATGGATGTAGTGGGCACTTAACAAATGATAGCTACCATAAAATGTGCTGGGACAAAAAGCAATGGAAGTTCATGGTTCTTGGGAAAGGAAACTTTGGAAAACAAGAAATAAACTCCAGGTTTAGTATGGGTCTCTGTCCATCTGTCTGCCAGGCAATAGAGGATTCCAGGGCACCTGGGGTTAACTAGAGCAGGGGGCAGACTTTCTGTGCCCATGACAGCCTGGCAAGAACATTCATGAATGAGGAGGGCTGGGGCAGGGGGCACTTAGCAAATTGGAGAGCCTCCATGCATCTTATCCCTTGCACTGGCTTACTGTGGCCAGTTGGGAATGAAGGCCCAGTTTACAAATGGGACTGAATTTTCAAGGAAATACACACACACACACACACACACACACACACACACACACACACACACAGAAATTCAGCAGGAAACAATATATTTTAAAAAAGAAAATTTCAAACAAGAGCAAATAAAACTCATCTGTGGGCTGGAGGGGCCCAGTGATGTAGCCCAGCCTTTTTGGGCAATATGGACAGAAGAACCCACTGGAATGGCTTCCATAGGGTCTCTCCAGGCCCCTCAGGCAGTTCTAGTTCCAGAAACATGGGACTCCACTTGGAAATGCTGACATGCTATCCAGATTCAAAAGGCCAGAGTCACACAGTGAGGAAAGTAGCCATTTTCCTGTTTCTGGGCTTAGGCTGGTATTCAGGCGTTGGCCCCCAGGCTCAGGGTAAGTCAGCTCCCCCAGGGCCAGGTCCATGTAGACATTCCATGAATATTCATGGAACAATTCCCTGCTGTGTGACTTTGAGCACAGACCTCCATCTCTGGGTCTCATCTCAAAAACGGGCACAGTGATGTAGCCCCAACCACCTCCCAAGGATAATGGAGAAATCAAGTGACTAAAGAGCTAAAAGTGTTTCTGAAAAGGGAAAGTGCTTTACAAATGCCAGGTGTGGTCATTCTTGTTGTCATTATTATTATGAGCAAAATAATTTTGCCAGAGCTAAAGAAGGGGGCCTGGGACCCAGAGGAGCAGAGACTCTGCAAGGAGGATCCAGATCAAGCCAGGAGGGCACATCACAAAAGAGATGCATGCTCAGTTCCAAGACAGATCATGGGACACTGAGCTATTGCGACCTTCCCCAGTCATCGGGCATCTAGCTCAGTGGGGGCCCCAGTCAGGCCAAGCTGTATTTCCCTGGTCAGAGGGCTTCTGGGGAAACACAAACTCCACATGTGCTGCCTGTGAAAGAGAAACTATATAAATAACATAAATACTTTCCCATATATCTTAGCTATATAAATATTCTCTTTTGCCCTAAAAACTATATATGTGAGGTAGACAAAAATACCCTGTAAGCATCTCCCTTAAAGCTACAGAATGAGGGGTTATTGGTCACTCTGGACCCCAGGGGCCCCAGAAGAGCTAAATGGCTCTTTAGGGATAACAGGGAGAGAAAGAGTTGGAAGCATGAAGAGAAAGGGAGAGGGAGGGCTGGACAAAGAGGATCCCCACAAGCTGAGGGGTCAGTGACATGGGTGTCAGTGTTAATGGCCAGCCATGACCTAGGTCATCTGAGTCTACCCTTTATCCTTCTGCAACCCCAGCCCTAACAGCCATAGAGTTGGGATGCAGATGGAGTGGTAGTGGATCAGGGTGCCTTAGCCCTCACATTGCTTCCAAGTGCCTTTCTGCCAGTGCAGCCCAGGGCTGAGCCAAGGTAGAGGCAGTGTTGGAGTCACAGAGCAGCAAGATGGATCAGGCTGGCAAAGAACAAGTTTCCACACAGAGAAGAGTGGAACAAAACTAGAAAACCAGGCTGCAACCCTTTTTTCTCCTTGGGCTAAGATGTGGGCCAGCTGCCAGGGTCAGCAAAGTCATTCTCGCAAGGGGTGTCAAGTCAGTTTGGCTCTACCATCAGAGATCCTTCCAGCATTCCCAGACTGCCTTAAGTCACCAAAGAGGGTGGCTCCTGTGGCTGTGAAGGTCTCAGGGAGGCTGTTGGGCCCAGCCACTGGCCTGCTTCCTGGAGCTGGAATTGCTAAGGGTTCTGTGCACTTGGCTGATTCTGGATTTCCTGTTGCTGCAGAGGGTCAGCAGCCCGGGGTTCAGGGAGAAAGGAAGCGTACAAGAGGGCACAGCAGGCCAGCCAAGCAGCTATAAACTTCCCAAAGGAGGTCACGTCCCCCCTGCTGGCCTCAGGCTCTGCTCTTGGGAAGCATACAGCCTCCAGCAAACTGACCCCTGCAAGATCTTTGTCCTGGGACAGAGATGTGCACTGCTCCCTGGAAACCCTCTACCTGATCCCAGTGGTGCAGGCATCTGTGTGTGCCTACAAATGGATGCAGTTTCTTTTCTCCTTCTACTCAGGGTCTTGGAAGGTAGTACTGGAAATGTCCACAGGTCCAAGGAAGTTAGTTAGCAAAGTCACTTCTATTCCTCAAGTTGGGGCCCAAGTAAGGGGCTATTACTAAATGAAGGGGCCACCAAGAAGGCAGGCCTAGCAGACTCTGCCGGGACAAAAGCCTGAATTAGACAAGCAGCCATGAGAACAGACATGTAACCAGAACCACAGATCATGAGTCTAAGGTCCTTCAGCAACACGAATGTCAGCAGCTGTGGGGCCTCCCAGCCCAGGTGGACCACAGCCACAGGGGCCGGCCAGAATACACTCCAGGGCAAGCTGATACACTGACCTTGCTGCATCCCTGCTGGCACCAAGTGACCGTTACCCTCCTCTGGGTTGCCATCAGTTTGCTTTGACTACCAGGGAAAACGGAAAGGGCTCACTGTCTTCTTCCCCAGCTGCAGGTACACTGTTTGAGTCCCACTCTGGCAGCTAGCTCTCCCACCATTCTCATCTGCCTAGAAGTCTCATTGAACAGAGCTGGATAGCTGTGAGAAATTCAGCTATGGAGAAAAGAATGAAGTCTCAGTGCAACTAGGTTTGAAAAATCAAATCAAGGACATGAGGCTCAAGGGCATGGATCTAACTTGATTCCACTAAACCCAGAAAGATTTCCTTGCTCCAAACAGCTCCTAGCACCACCACCAGAGTAGTGTGGATGTATGGCACCCAGACCTCACACTGCAATCCGAGCAGGGCCAGAGGACTGAACCTACCCATCCCAGCTGGGCGCCTGCCTAGGCTTCCAGCTGGCACTGTTTCTCCTGCATAATCCCAGCGGCTTGCTGGCTCTGGGCCACGCATCCTGGGAATGGGAGATGGCAGGATACCCCTCCTTCTCTCCACAACCTCACTCCTGCCCTCCTCTAGGTCTCCTTTATTTCCCTCCATATTGCTTCCTACTATGCTCTTCTGCTCCAAATCCTCAACAAGGTTGGAGACCCTTGGACTCAGGGGAGGACACTTTGCTTCAGTTTGCTGAGTACTATGGGAGGCAAGAGGCTGGCCAAGGGTGGAGTGGGGACAGAAAAGTGAGGAGTGGCACACATGTGCACAGGCATGTCCATCATTGTCCATACACATTGTGTACAGCTGTTCCACAGGGCCAAGGTCCTGGCAGCATGGGCTGGCTCACCATGCAGTGCCTAGCGCTTACAGGTGTACACAAGCTCCTGCTGCATGCACTGCTGGCATTCCACATAGCAGCACCACTGAACCTGGCAGTGGCAGGAGAAGGCCACCAGGCGGCTCTGGGTGTCATAGCCACGCCCACAGCACAAGCTGCTGCAGCTGGTCTCCCGGGAACACACCCTGCCAGCTGTGCCTGGAGAATACTTGCTGGGCCGGCAGAAGCTGGGGGAGTCCTCCATGTAGACCAGGTCAACCGGCCGGGGTGCCAGGCCTTTGGCAGGGCCACCTGGCTTGGCAGGTGCCCACAGCTCCAGGTGGCCCAAAGCCTCGTTGGTGGCACTAGACACCTTGACAGCTGAGTCATAGCGCAGCTTCAGCACCTGGCCTGTCTCACGGAATGGGGAGAGCTGCTTCCAGCAGGTGCGCACAGCACAGGATCCTGACACTCCGTGGCACTTGCAGGTGGTCCGGAGGCCACTCTTCACCGCCTGCAGAGATATAGATGAAGGCCTGGTCAGAGGTCTGTCTCAGAGTGCCAACATGGCAGAGGAACATCAGGAGGATGAGAAGTAGACAGGAAAGGTCATATGAAGGAAACAAATAGGACCTGAACTGGCCCATGAGGCATCGTCAGGCAAACCAGTAAAAGGCTCCCCCTGTTCTCAGCAGTACACACTGTGGTGAGGACAATATGAGTCAGATCTCACCCCTAGCTCCTCCCCTTAGTCCAGGGTTCTTGTGCAATATTTAGCTGGCAAAACTGAATATAGCAGCCTTGATTTACACAACTCAGTGATGAGGACACAAAACACAGAATTCCATTTCCTAAAGAATTTCAGTAGGGTAGCACATTCCTGTAATCCCAGCTACTAGGGAGCCTGAGGCAGGAGGGTCACAAGAGTGAGGACAACCTGGACAATTCAGCAAGACTCTGTCTCAAAAAATAAAAGGGCTGGGGATGCAGCTCAGTGGTAGAGAGCCCCTGGTTTTGATCCCCAGGAGCACCAGTCTCTCCAGCTTTCTTACTCCAATAGATCTAGATACTTATTACTGGCAGTTTACCCACTACCTTTGTGATCTCAGCTAAGGCCCTGTCCTTTCTGGGCCTCCTCTATCGTCCCACTCAAAAAATTCTGGCAGGTCAGAGGTTTCCCTGATCAAAGTTGTTGAACAATGTTGGCCTCATCCTCGGAATGGACACTTTCCTCCAAATATGATCCTGCTTTACCAAAGCATGTCCCAAGCCTGGTTCCACTGCTACCCAGCCATCAGAGATGCCTGTGACCCTTCCCTACTTTCTCTGTACTTATGATACACAGTAATGGTCCAGAGTAGATGCCCAGAGGATGTCAGTTGAAGGAATGGAGTTTATTCTGGGATGCTGTGTGTGCTGAGATGGGGTGCTGGCCTCCTACAGACCTTGCTGCCCATCTCTACACCTTGCCTAGGAGAAGTGTTTTGGGCATCCAGAGAACACACTCACCTTGATGCCCACATAGGTGTTGTGGGCATCAGCCCGAGCCCGCAGGTCCTTGCTTCCTCTCTTGGGGCCCAGGAAGTTGGTCAGAAACTTGGTGCTGTACCTGAGGTTGTCACCACACACACCCCACTGCCAGGCTTGCCGGCTTTCCAGGCCTGGGGAGTCATCGCAGGTGCAGCGCTCCATTCGCCCAGCACTGCAGGCCCGGGCCAGTGCATGGGTGAGGGCGGCCGCGGACACTGCATACAGGAAGGCTGTCTCCTTGAAACCTGTGCCAGGCATCAGGGTGCCAGTAGGGAGAAAGAGGCAGTTCAGAGGCTGTCTGCTTCCCTCTGAGGACAGGAGGGGTGGGGGGGGCACCATGGTAAGCCAGTCAAGGGCATTGCAGCCCAAGTACACATCTCCGGGTAAGCCTCCCTGTCACCTGCTGTCCCAACTCAAGGGAACTTCCATTCACTGAGGACTAAGTGCCCAGATTCCCAGAGGGCGGCAGGACAGCAGTCACTGATTCCAATAACAGGTAAGAACTGAGATGCAAAGAGAAGGGGCTTGAGCACCTGGGAAGGGGACAAGCTGGGGTCAAAGAGCCACCTTGATTCCAAGTACATGTGTGACAAGTTGGATTAACCCATGTCTGAGGTTTCTGATCCCTTAAGCAATACACTGTGTTTCTCAGTGCCTCTCAAACATCATTCTCTGCCACCCACTGAGGAGTTGGCCCAATGACAGGGTGGCCTTGAGTCTCCTGCTTGACCTGCCCTGGACTGGGCATCCCAGTCTCTTCTAGGACCATCACTATGCTCACATTGCTGGGTGGTGACCCAATCTGGCCGCTCATGGGCTCACTGATTCCCCACTGGTCTCCAACATATCTGGGTGCTGGTGACACTGCAAGAGAAGGGAGGCAGGCTACTTGTCCTGCCCAAACCCTCTCCTGCTGTGCAGAGCAGCTGGCCTAAAAGGTAGTTGGCTGCTCCTGTCACTATCACTGCATTTTTGTAAAAGTCTCCCATTAAAGCCCTTTCCATCTGGCCACCTGGCCACACAATGACCTGCTTTCTCCCCTCCTGGACAGTGTACTTTCTAGTACAGATAGTGAAGTTCAGCACTGTACCTCCAGCATTTGGCATAGTGCCTGGCTCACTGAGAGCCTCTGTGTATGGTCAGTGGGTGAGTGGATGGAGGCCTGAAGGGATACAGAAACAAGGGAGGAAGGCAGGGGGAAGGGAAGGGAAGGAGAGAATGACAACAAATTTAAGCAACAGAGAGACAAAAGGAGGAGTGAACACAGAAATCAGCTGGTCTTGTGCATCTAGGCCGATTATTAGTGGCCTCCATCCTTACATGTTCCTGTACATTGTCTTCAGTGTGCACGGGAGGCATAAGGGAGGCTACTGGGGCCTTGGCCTCAGCTGTGGGCTCCTCGAAGAGGGGCTTATATCCTCTCCTTTCTGTGTCTTCCTGTTCATCTGCTCCCCCAACTCTTAGGCTGGGCCATGAGTGGCCTTCAAGAAGCCTTTGCAAATCCCCAGGCCTCGTCTCACACGGGGCTGGGCCCAGCGAGCAAGAGCAGTGTGGTCTCCTCCTTCCTCCCTCCCTCCCCATGCTCCCCAACACTCTTCCCACCTCTCTTGAGCAGGCCAGTCCTTCCCTCCAGGCTGCAGTTCCAGCGCTCCTGCTGGAACTGGAACTGGCACTCGAGCAGGCCAAGGTGTGCTGCATCCCTCAGGGTCTCAGCCAGGCCAGGTTCCCGCCTGCACAGCTGCTTCTGCCGGCGGGACAGCTTCAGCAGGTCACACTGCTTCAGGTGGGCACTGCCCTGTGTTGGGGCTGCCTCGGTGTCCAGCCCTGGGAAGGACGTTAGGATCTCCCGCCCCGTCAAGCTGGAGAGGATGAAGAAAGGGAGACATGAGCCTCGGGGGTCCTGACAGGGGAGGATAAAGGATGATAATCCATGAGAACGTGGGGTGGGGTGAAGGGACATTCTTGAGATCTGCATTTATTGCCCTTTTGGGTGGCAGGACAGCCCCATGTGGGTAATGTTCTTACAGAGTAGGAAATTAAGGTTCTAGTAAGGATTGTGCAGAACCTTAAATTCAAAATTCCCAGGTTCTAGTTTCTGCTCTTCTTCCCAAATTTGCCCAATTAAAAAAACATCAGCTGCTTAATAAAAATACAGATTCCCAGGATCCGCACTTGGCAATTCTGATTCCAGCGGTCTGAGAAGGGCCTGAGAATCTGTATATTTGCCACATTCTCTAGGTAGCTGCTATAATTCAGGAAGTTTAGGAAACATGGCAGAGTATTGGTTGTTTCCTGTGACAGCAACCTTATTAAAAGAGGGTAGGCACAAGGGATGTAGACTCAGAGCAAACACCCAGACAAGGGCTCCCATAGTCTTCTCTCCCTTGCATTATATTCCTGCCCAAGTAACTCCATGCCAACTGAGCTTGTTTTCTGAATCCCAGATAGATCTCCAGCCAACTGGCCATTTGGTGTCTGGAACAAATAGATGCTTGAAGAATGGAAAGAAAGAAAAAAGGAAGGGAAGGAAGAGGGTGGGAGGAAAAGAGGTAGGAGGGAAGAAGGAGGAAAAAGGAAGGAAGTTCAGGCTGACTTAGTTGGCTGAAGATGAATCCCAGATTTCTTGTTCTATATCCAAAGTCCATTGATTCCAGAGTCAGACTGGCAAATTCTAAGCCTGACTCTACCACTTCCTATCTGTGCAACCTTGAAGTCTTGGTTTTCTCCTCTGCAAAGTGTAAAGAATTACCCACCCTACCTCTCAGGGTTGCTGTGAAGATTACAGGAAAGGTAAAAACCACAGCACCCAAGACATGCTGGCTTGCTTCCTGCTAGCTGGAGTTTCCTAAACCTTTCTCCTCTTGCAAGATGCCTTACTCTCTAATTAGCCTGAATCTCCCTTTTTCCAGATGAGAACACAGAAGTTTTATGAGGAGGCAGCAACTAACTCGGGTACAACCAAAAAGCAGTAAGGTGAGATTTTGAATCAGGGCAATTTCTCTCCTCCCAGAAGCTCTCTGTGACATTCAGCATAGTTCAAGACATTTGCTGTCTCTTACCCTGGTGCCTCCCAGTGTGCATGCAATATATACCATTCTAGAACGCAGCCTGGAGGAAGCAATCCCTTTCTGCAATATGCCAGCCTCGTAGGCAGGATAAAGGGCAAAGGTGGAACCAGACAACAGCTCCTAAAGCTCCTGCTTAGGTGTGGCACCTGCCACATCTGCTTACATGCTACTGGCCAAAGTAAGCCCTGAGCTATCAGAGAGCTTTCCAACTGAGCCAAGTGTACTATTCTCCTGTTTGGAGTCACCTGCCTTAGCCAAGACATTTGGCTGGATGCCACATCCTCTCTGTCTGGCAGAGTAAGAAGCCTCAGTGGAGGGTGTGGGTCCTGGCTGGGCCCCAGATGCCCCTGTAGATTTCAAATCCATCAGGTGCAGCCAACCCAGTGTGGAGCGTATCTCCAAAACCTCCAAACAGAGACAGATGCTATCAGGCTCCTCCTGGCCCAGCCTGGCCCTGGGCTCCCCTCCTAGACAGGGTGAGGGCAGGGGCCTGTTAATCATTAATCTGGGGGCAAATGGGTAAATTTCCAGTCCACCAAGCCTACACCCAAACCCCTCCCTGCAGCCTGGCAGGAAACCCTCAGAGCTTGACCCTTGGCGGGTCTGGAGCAGAACCTGAGGTCAGCTCCCGCTGAGAAGGCCCCACCTTAACTGGTGTCCAGCCTGGAGGGTAGCTCAGGGATGCAGAAGCAAAGAGGACAGCAGCCATGTGGCCCACTCAAGTGTCCTCCTCCCCACACTAGGGGCTGGTGTGAGGGGTAACTTTTGCTCAAATTTCTGTTTTATAAATCAAGGCCTTAGTTATAAAAGCTGACTGACAAAACAGGAAACAACCAGGGAGTGATGGGAAATTTAGCCTATGGGACTGAGCATCCTTCAAGGCTTCAAAGTCTGTCTCAAATGCCATTTCAAGAATAATAGCTCCAGCCCTCAGGAGGCTGAGGCAGGAGGATTGGCACGAGTTCAAGGCCATCCTGGACTACACAGTGAGACCTTGTCTCAAAAAAAAAAAAAAAAGGGGGGCAGGGGATTTAGCTCAGTGGTTCTGCCGCCTGCCTTGTAGGCGCAAGGTCCCGAGTTTAATCCCCAGTACCAAAAATAAATAAATAAATAAAACAAAAATAAAAACAAAGAAACAAAAAATCCAGCAGGTGACTTCTCTGGGCTGTTTCCACACAAAATCAAGAATAATAACTGTAATTCATCTATCTATATAGAAATATTCACGTCATATTATATAACATTATATATTTTATGTGTTATGATATATATATATATATGCATACCTACCACTTTTTCAGTGCCTGTATCTGAGCTCTTTCAATTACTATTGCTGCCTACCCATTTCTTCTATCTTTGTGACTATCATGTGGTCTTTATGGGCCATTTTACTTCACATGAGTTGCTGTTCTAGTCTATTGATTGGATCATAATGATCACATGACCTGAACCTGGATCAATCTTTTCTCTGGAAATTTGGAATTTGAATTAAGAGAGCATCCACTTGCTTTCTCTCCCTTTCTGAGTTTGGGTGACTGGACTTGTAACACAGAAGATAAACAGAGGAAGCTGATCCAAAGAGAGAGGAAAGGATTGAACCAAATGTACTGAGAGAAGCAGAGGTGAGAATGGGAGGGAGAATTTGGGAAACATTCCGGGCACTGGTCCTAGAATTCTCCTGGGGTCTAGCTGTGTTCTTGCCTGAGACAATTGCCTAGTGCACAGCAAGGGCTGGGAGTTGGTTTGTCGAACTAAGGTCATTGTCCTTGATTATAACCTTTTGCAGACTACAGAGACCACAGTTCTCTAGGCTGCACTTGTAAGCCAGGCTCAGTAAAAAAACCTTCCCCTCATCGACAGGCACCTGATTTAAAATTTCATGTAACAGAACTTGAGATTGATGGCTCAGTCTAAAGTCAGTTAATTTTATTAGCAATAATGACACTTAGTAGTGATTAATGGTCAGGAAAGGCAGCCAACCATACAGAGTACTCAAGCCATGCTAGGCCCTGGTCTGTCCAGGGTTTTTCTCAAAGAAGATTCCCTGGCACTGTCTCATAAGTCCCCAAAGGGCGGAAGACAGCCTGCAGGAATTTCCAGGGCCTGGTTTCCCTTTTGTTTTCTATATTGCAGTTCGGGATCATACTTCTTTAAAGAAATAATACTATGACATCATGTTTAGAAAAATGACTCAACTGATTTCCTTGAACAATGCTAGTGGATTCTATGCATGCCTATTCTATGGCATCCACTAGGGAAGTTTCTTCCTGGATCCCAGAAGAATTCTGGGCATTGCAGTTTCCAGCCCATTCCATTTTCCTCCCCTGGAAGACATCTGTCTCTGTCTGGCAGCCTAGACCCAAGCACCCCACCCTCCAGGCCTCTCTGGAAAATTTCCATCACCCATCTATTAGCTGAGCCCCATGGCGGTATGAACACCTGATTATGAAGTTCAAGTTTATCAGTCTCATGAATCAGGCAAAACAGGCGTTTTAAGGAAGACACTGCCCTGTAGTCTGCATTCTCAACCAAAGAGCAGAGAGTGCACAATTTGTGAGCTTGTTAATTGGCCCTAGGGCAGGGGCCAGCAGTACCTTAGGGCTTCTGCCTGACTCGAGTGCTCCTGCACCACCTAGGACTCCATCCATCAGGCTGCACCTGCAGTGGCCTAGCTGGCCTTCCCCGTTCCTACCCTCCTCAAGTTCCTCCAGGCTGACACTCAACCTCTGTTTTCCTGTTAAGAACACAGAGACCCCACATGACCAGCTTCCTTCTTCTCCCTTCCTTCCCCCCAGCGGTGCCCCTCTACTCTGCACCATCACTCCATCTTCCCTTGGAGTCGGGTTGGGGATAAAACAGACCCCTCCCCTCCATGAGATACCTTCTGGTTTTGACCTCAGGACATCCCCAATCACTTCTACCCTTAAAATGAGAAAAGCCAAAGGTACTCTCACGCAATAGACTGTCCTCACATCTCTATCTACTCTGGCCCTTCTTGCCCCTCCCCATTTCACGTTCTTCCCACTCACGGTTTTGGCTAAAATTGCCTCGTGAGGACAGCCTTGGAAGAGGTAGAAGGTTCTCCCAGGCCCTGAGGAAAGCCTCTCAGGAGACTGCTCTGTTGCTGTTAGCAGGACCCGAGGGCCACCCAACTCTTACAATCATGTATCACCTCAACAACCATGCATCACCTGCTGGATGTGGGGACCCCAGGACCTCATGTCCTCAAGGCTGTTCTGGCTAACCAGGCTGGTTTTAAGTCTTAGTTGGGGGGGGGGGAGAAGAAGAAGAGGAGGAGGAGGAGGAGGCAGATCATGGTAGGGAGGGAATATGGTTGAAGTCAGGCCCCAAGGAGAGTGGAGAAAAGAAAATTTTGAACCAGCTTGGCTCCCTGAGGAATGACCAGAGACTGAACTCCCAGCACTACCTGACCTTGGCTGGCCTCATCTCACCTGTAGTAAGAGGCCTGGGGTGGGGTGGAGGCAGGAGGAAGTCCTGGGGAACAGTCCAGGCTGACTGGGGAAGGCCAGGCAGGTGCACCAGTCATGCTCCAGGCTGTTCTTCCAGACCTTCCCCACCTTTTTTTCTGTTCCAGAGAGTCAGATGGATCCAGGAGAGGCTGCCTCAGGATGGAGCAGGTAGGTGTACAGGATGAGGCAGATGGTTCTCAGGGTACCAGGTAATGCCAGCAAGTGTGGACTGGCAGGACCATGAGCTGTGCCTCGCACTAGGGCCCATGCCAACTGAATGCAGCTGCCTGGGAACCAGGAAAGCCTCGTGCTGCCTGGGGCCTTGGCCTCAGCCCTGCAAAGCCTCGTTAGATGCTCCTGATAACAGGCTTCCGCTGCAGGGCTGTTTCCATGGTCAGTGCTTCCTTTGTGCTTTCATCCCCAGCCCCTGGGCCCACCTCTTCTGGCTCTCACTAAGCCCCTACGCACTCGTATCACCAAGCCTCCCACGCTCTCCATACTGGACCCCTCCCCAGCAGGGGGCAGTTCAGTGAGGGCAGCTCCTACCCAGCCAGGGAAGGCCCCATGACACTGGCCAGTCCTTCAGAAAGGGGAGCCCTCAGCTTGCCTCCCCTCCCCTTCCCAGGCAGAGGAAAGCCCAGGTTTACGCTGCTGGGCTACCCATTCTCCCCTCTGCCTTTGGACCCCTTTCTTCTTTATAGGATTTGGTGTCCCATGCCCCTCCCTCATGAAGATGCCCTTACTCTACACCCTGGCAAAATGGCCAATGATTGTTTCCTACTTGTATTCCAACTCCTTCCATCCCCTCCTTCCATCACTTGCTCATTCATTTATGCTTGTATTCCCTGAGCATCAGCTTCATGCCAGGTCCACCCACAGACAAGGCCACTCACTATTTCCCCACCTGGCTTCACTGCCCCCTTCCCAGACCAGGCCTTTCTTCCTTGTCCAGCTGAGCCTCAGGGTCCCATGATCCCATCCTAAGGACTAGATCTGACGACCACCTCCCCACTGAGCCTACCCCAGAGCCGCATCACCCCCCACCCAGTCCCCGCTCTGAGAAAAAAAGAATCTGGGCCAGATGTGGGCTTTGTCTCTGGGAACAGCTCCACTTCCTGTTTCTCCAGGCTGCCCGCTGAGGATGGCATCGGGGAGACGCCACTCCAAGCTGAGTGGGCAGCGGGCAGCCAAGCAGCCTGCACACTCTGCATCTCAACAATGTTCAGATTTAGAGCTGGACTGGCTCAACATCTGTGGAGGAAATGCTTTCCCCTCCCTCCCTCCCTCTTTCCCCACTCCCTCTCTGCTCAGGATCAGGCTGAAGCCAGGAGAGAAAGTCTTTGTCTCTCATATGCATAGCTCAGGTGGCAGGCACAGCGACCATGGAGGGGCCCTGAAAGTCAGTCCTGTGGAGAGAGGGATTCCCCCATCTTTATAAGACTGGGATATAACTTCTCCTCCAGTTAAATGACTAGGTGCAAATACGGATTACAT